TGGTGTTCTTCTTTTACGACTCACGCCAGTACTAATTCCATGTATCGGGCCTGTCTAAGCTGAATACTTTTAATTGCTAAAGCAGATAAAATTCCATTCATTTTCTGTGTTGCACGCCTCCGCCCGCAGTAGGTGTTACGCAACTCTTGACCATGTTAGGACTGTGCATCTTGACTTTTAGGTGATGTGGGGTACCCTTTTACGTATTAGTTCTCCGCTTCCAACGAAACCCCTTAAAACAATTTCCATTTACTCAAGAGGTTCAATACCATAGGCACCAACCTGAGCCTGTCTTTCATCGAGAGCCTTTTCTCCTGTCCAGCTTGTCTCGCACCTCGGCTCCGTTGTTTTCGTTGCGTGCCAGGGTGGGTCTGGATCCGTTGCGTGGTCTAGCTATTTCATCAACACCGTATTTCATCCAGAAAAAGACATCGATCTGTGAGCTCTTTATATCAGTAAGTCTCCTGCAGCATACCATGATGGATAATGATTTTACCGGCTTNAAATACTCAGTACATTGATTAGTTGACATGTGATGAATCTTTTATGCACTCCTTAATTGACAGGATTATACGACCACGACCTTGACGAGTATAGTACATTAGCCTGTTTTTGGAAAAAATAAAAAAAATAAATGAGGTTACATATTCTTATTTCACAGCCGGGTTCTCAAAAATGGTTGAAACATTGCATACAATCGTGAAAGTAGTACTAAAAGCCAGAATATACGACAATTTTTTGCCGGTGCGTACCGAAATAGCACTGATTTAAATCGTTAACCTCCGATAGCCTGTTGTATTTCGTTTGCAATTCTCTCTTTTTAATAAACCGGAGATTTGTTACGTTTATGCCTGCTTTCATCGTTTCGGTCCAAACGATGAATACGTTTGAAAACTAAGATTGTCAAGCCTCGGAATCAAGTGAATAGGGCTGTTCGAAGGGATCTGTATGCTAGGTGTTTCGGGTTTAATAACTCAAACAAGACTAGTAAACATCATCGAATGTCTCACCTAGACATCTAATCATCCGAAATTTACCCTCCTAATTCCAAAATTGATTTCAAGTCGTCGATCAATGCAGCACAAAGTACTTTCACAGAATTATCTTTCTATCAATGAGCTAACGCCTAGTGAGAAAGAATACTATGCATAAAACAGATTATCAAAATAAGTGACGGAATGTTTGTGTGTGTTCTGTTGTTTGTTTGTGTGTGTGTATGTGTCGGTGTGCATACGCATAACCTGATGAAGATAGTTTCCTCCAGTTCACGTGGGTATGGTTAAACTGAAATAACTGAGCAGTTGGGGCTGTGCGGTTCCATTCAGCAATCGGTTTTGAAGTGACACAGAAATGTGGTTTTCGATTTCGGATGTTTAGATAAACCGTACACGTGTAATCTGTTTCAGGATTCGGGGATTGGGCTGGGATTGGATTCGATGTCATGGACTGTTTGAGTGAATGAGTGAGGTAGGATCCGGTCTAATTCGCTGGAGTGCATGTGCAATTTCGACTGACTGATGCGTGTGTGTTTAATGCGAGGAGAACAATGGATACGGGGGAGGGACGGGAGTGTGGATGAATGCAACGGGTAGCCCATGTTCCAATTCGAACAATGAATCTGAGCGGGGAATTGGAATGATACAGTTGACCATAAGTAAGGATGAAGTAAAATGTAAGGGTATGTATATATGGAAACATGATGGGTGGCACATAAGTTGATATTCCACAGACTCAAACACTGATCTTGTTCCGTCCGTGATTGATTGTAAACATGAGTTCTTCACCTGCAAGAAAAGGAGAACATGTTCGGATGTGAGTTGCATGGAACTGGCTGGGTGCAGTCTGCCAGAAGTGCATTAAACTTATTTGCCATTATCTGCTGGATCACATGACGAGCGAGATTCTCATTTCTTTTCACGAGACGCTATCTTGGAGGCATCATCGCCTGAGCCCCTCTTACCGAATTCGTCGGAGCGATATGGTAAACTTGACTACAAGAGCTGTAAATTGATGTTTAGGATTATGAATCGTTTGACAATTCAGTATTAGCTTAGCTAAAGGATGGAGAACACCACCGTTCCAGATCTGTCTGAAGAACCAACTGCTCACAGAAACGGGCACAAAACGGTCGCTTGGTTGATGACAAGACAGGAATCAACTGAAATGTAAGTCATACTGTTGGCTAATTTAGCATATTTCAAGCGAGTAATAGAGGATTTGGTTCAATTTCAAAGATGGATTCGTCGTGTATATGGCAAATGGAATAGCCAATGGATACTAAATGGACAATGAAAAATGGCTTGGTCAGCTGCGCGGTAGCGGAGTGCGTAGTATGGTTGTGCTGTGCACGTGGGGTCCTGGGTTCGATCCCCAGTTGGGTCGATGAATTCGCACCGCCGATGAGACCAGCTAGGCCTAAACGGCTATCCAGTGCTTCCCACATTTTCAGTTCAAGCTTCATTTGTTATATATACGACGAATTCACCTTTGAAAATTTAAATAATACAATTCAATTTGTACCATGAACGTGTCAGACCAATCTGAAAAGACCCATATTTCACTTAATAATATATTATGCAACCAATGTGTTACGAATAACTGCTTTCACGAGAGGCTGGCTATTTAGGGTCAACCTGCTTATCCGACTTATTCAGCGAAGCTTTGGATTCCCATCCACGTCTTTCCTAAATTCAAACCCCACTGAATCGCGATAAAGAGTCCCACCGAGCTGGCTGGAACCGCTGCATGAGGTTCCCAAATCGGTACACAAGATGCATCAAAAGACAACAACCAAAATTGGCCTGCGAAAGTACATGGTTATTGGTTGCACAAAATAAAAATGAAACACAAGATCTGTATGCTGCAGAGTTTTTATACAAAGCTTTTCAGTGATCTCTTCGAACAATCTATAATCTGAGACGATGGTCGATCCAGTTTTCTCATAACTCGTAGGGGAGTTAATAACTCAAGGTTTATTGCCATTTTTGAACGTGGTGTGGGAAACATACAGCACTGTCTAGTTCTTCGTGCAGTAGGATGGATTTTGTCTGGAATAAACCAAAGACATGTTCGCATCATGTTCATTTATAGCCATCGCTTCCTAGTAGGTTTTTATGCATGCAGAATCGATCAATAGATTTGTTTTATTACTAATGACACGAAATCTCTCTCTGGAGGTCACTTACGTTGCAAGTAATGTGCCAGGGAGTAGTCATCCACATCATAAGCCAATCGTCTTGGTCGTTTTCCGTGAGCATCACGAGCGGTGGGACAAGCACCGGCCTTGAGCAATAGTTGACAGATATTCCGGCGACGATAAACTGCAGCTTTATGCAAAGCTGTCTGTTTCCTATCCCCAGAGAAGATGTGTGTGAGGGGGAGGGGGGGAGGGAGGGAGGAGTGGGCGGGCGAACAAAAAGAAAATTTTAATGAATGATTCTGACTTATGATGATGTTGTCATATCAGTGTATCAGATTACTTTGTAAAACACTACTTAGAAGTGAATCTCTTTTTCACAGATTCTAATAAAAGTGGCTTATTTTACAAGGCCATACTGGTAATGGAAGGAAGGTTGATACTTTACTATGCTGTATTTTGGCATTTACCTTCGGTACTTGTTCCGCACTACATCCCTGTTTCTGTTTGTGGCGCGCTGAAAATGCCTTCCTCTCGTTCAATATACACTGAAGCGTTTTTTATCAATACAATAAGCAACCAGGTTGCATTAGGCTACAAGGACAATCTAGGCCGACTAACTTCACAAAACATGGATCCCAAAGATACATTATAAACCACGTGCACCATCACTAATTCAAAACTGCTCAAATTTGCCGAAGAATTGGTTATCATCAGTCATCAACTACCTCAAACTGTGTTGAACAGTGAGAAGGAGTGGCCAATTTAGCACCCGCGGCGAAACCAAAATTCTCGCTGCTTCCTTCCGTGATTGTGAACGCAGGCAACTCCTATTCATGGAACATACGTTATTTTCATGCCTTATATAATTATTACACTATTTGTAGTATAAATGTGTACAAAAGCGAAGATATGATTCTGGACACATTGTACAAATCAACCAGTGTTCTTGGCTTATTTATACAAATATCAACAAACCAAGAGTACTCTGTTTTAATGGAGTGGTGTAAAAACAATGTTAGAATCTGGACTGTAGATTATTTTATTAAGTAGGTGAGTATGGAAAAAGCCCCTAAAAGAAAGTTCTCATTGAATACACTTGAATTATTTATTTTTGAATGGACTTACTTTTCGTACTCTCGTAGTTCGAGTAATTCGGGAGAAGCTGCAAACAGATTGTGAAATTGAGAATGAGCAATCCATGGAGGTTCAATATTCTACATAGTTCTGCAAGGCGATTAGCGAATCAAATAAGTCGGGTTTCCTCCTTAAGCCCATCCGTGAGAAGAACCGTAAAACTGAAAATTTTCGTGTCAGCATTTGAACGGTATTTTCAAAGTGATCGGTTTGAACCAAGTGAACTGGAAAGGTTGATTGCCTCAAAAACCTTGAGTCGGTGGACAAGCGCACAACAACAAAACACAACAAAAGAAACAACATTTGATTCACGGTTGCTTGTGAGTAGTGGCGTGGAATAACTGATTTTTATTGATTTGAGCTGCCTATCCTTCGGACTTTACCGTCACGCACAATCCTCAGTTAGTCGATTCAACCATACACTTGGAAACACCAGATTCCAGTTTCGCTTTTATTACAGCTCATCAGTCCCATCCGGGATTTGAGCTCTAGACCCATCACATGGAAGGCATGTGTTACCACTGTGCCAACCAGCTCATACCATGGCTGAACCAAATTGTCAATTCATGTTTGTTCAGGTGTCGTCTTCAGTGATGGTCAGTTCATTTGGCCCGACAGCAACGAAGGGAGACAAAGAGGACAATCTGTTAACTCCAATCGAAAGCCTCCCACCAAATGCGAAGTAGCAATCCAGCCTTGTAGATTCGTTGACCAATCAGCCAGTACCTGCATGGAAGTCCTGACTTGCTGGGGGGCTTTCGATTGGAGTTAACAGATAGTCAACTGTGTCTCCCTTCGTTGCTATCGGAACAAATTGAACTGACTAACCATATCTGAAGACGACACCTGAACAGACATGAATTAACAATTCAGTTCGGCCCTGGCATGAGCTGGTCGGCACAGTGGCAGCACATATACTTTCCATGTGATGTGTCCAGAGTTCCATTCACGGACAAGACAGTCGATATCCACTACTGGTGAGCTCTAAAGGGAGAGAAACTCGAGTCTGATGCTTCCGAGTGTATGGTTGAATCGATTAACTGGGGATTGTGTGACGGTAAGGTCCGAAGGATAGTCAGCTCAAATCAATAAAAAACAACAAAGACAAGAACATCGTCATCATCATAAACGATAAGAAAACCACCACCAGCAACAACCAGATAATAGTAAAATATTTGATTAGGAGTAATCGTATTGCGATTTTCAGAATTGAATTCATCTGAATAGGTCATCAACGGATGGAGGACGGGTGTGTGTTTGAATAAAGCAAAACACTTCACTATGGGTCGGTCTGTGATCTATACTACGGCATACGGTGCTATAGCATGCTCGGATTTGAGTTTCATAGAGGTGCTCAAAAATTACACGATTGAATCACAAGGCTTTTAATATTACTACAGGTGCACCGATTTTGAACCAGAATTATTGATAAAACCTAATTCTGTTTGCAACGGTGATATGTAATATATTTATGAGCTGATCTACCAACGTGATGAATCAGAACATTATATTTACAGTAAATCCAAGTGGTTGTGGCGAAGAGGAGGACGTGTGTTTGGAAACCGCCACTATTGCCTGAATTATCCCATTTTGAGTGTTGTATACTAGCCCTTTGATTGATCGCTTCCCACGTCCTCAAAACGGTATCATTGTACATTTAATGAAGGGGGGGGGAGTAAAATAAAAGATAAGATAAGATAGAAGATAAGACAAAAGTTTTGCGAGGGATACTGACAAGCCAGATCCCATGTACTCGTTGGAATCGATGACAATGTCTTTTTTAACCAAAAATCATTTATTTTCTTCCTTTTGATTGATTACTAGTGGATAAAATGATGAATTTCGTTGATGGTCACTATAACTAATTGATATCGAGGTAGATCACTTTACGGTCCACGGAGAGCTTAGTTTTACAATGGCTCTTACAATTTGTGTTGGGATCTATCAATTATTAAACTTCAGCATGTCTGGAAGTTATAAAATATAGCTAGTCGTTCCAGTTTTGATATAAACAACGTAGCAACAAATTAAAAACTTTTATTCAACTTGTTGAGAAAGCACTCATTGCACCACCACACTCTGTGTGATAAAAATATTTGTGCAGGCGCTAGCGCTTCCCTGGTCCACCCCCATACGCACCGCATCATGAGTAATCTCGATGGCCGGACGAGTGAACAAACGACTATGTGGACATGGTGAATCCGATTTCCGGTCTAAGGATGAAATCGTTTTCAGACAACTGTGATGTAATTTTACTTTATTTTTCCAAAACAGTTTTATTCGTAAATTGTTATACGTAGTGTGTCGTATTAGCATGACTGCGAATCAATGAAAACAAGCTTATTCACCACTCTGTTGTTATGTTTGAAATGTGCTCTGCGGAACTACTCACAGCCTAATAGAGCTAAGGAATTACGTGTAATGGCAGTCGCATTTTTACATGAAAAGCATGCTACTCATAAGTAGGCAAGTTGTAGTCTTATAAACAACGTTTGAGTCGTCTGGCTTTCTATGAGGGGAACCAAAAAAGCGAACTCTGTCCGTACAAAACACGTCGTGACATATCGTTCTCAAGGGCAAAAGATATTATATCAGTTAACAAAATGAATGGGAAAAACACTTCTGATTTGGCTTTGGACATTATTAAACTGATTCTTTCAAGCTTTTAATCCTACAATAGAGCTGATACCCATGACATAACCCTCAATTTTTCTGTTTGATTGGGCATGATGCGGACTTTAAGGAAGGGGAAACGACTGGTGCTAGAGGTTCTGCATCGAATAAATGTATTCCATGAGTGCTTGGTGGGAATAAGGCCTCAAGAAAACGGCATTGGTCTGTTGAAAAGTTTAGGTAATGGAGAGTAAAGAGTAAACAACTTAAAAAAAGAACATTGTAACATCCGAACCACTTTCTGTACGAATGCAGCCGAAGAACTTTCAGGCTTTATTTGAAATAGTAAAATCCAGAAAAACTTGTGATTGACAACGCTATTGAACGGAAATTATTTATTGCATAACATTTCGGTCACCTCAGATGGTCTCCAGCTAACCCGAGCGAGAAACCACACCTTGTTTACAGCCGTGAGTCTTAGACAGGCCTAGTGAACTTCGAATGTACAGGCGTGCCTTTACCACACGGATGGACTACACATGACAATAAGAACATCACAAAAAGTACAAGACAATGTGAGATGATGGCGCAATCGCACAATCCACATCCATATAGGAACTTCACATCTTGAATGGATACTCGGATATCTTAAATTGAAACGGTATGGATCAACAGACCGCCCGTACTGTCTTTAAACCTTCTAGTAAAAACTTTTCAAATTCTTCAATCTTATCGGCCGCAAAATTACCGTATTTAACACATTTGTTGTTCCTCCGGTATTTATTTACTACTTGAGACGCACTTCTCAAACGTCTGTTCGCAAGTAGTCCACGGAATCAAAATAATAACAAACACCATGCGTTTCCGTCACCATGCATTTAAAACTTTGTTTGATCAAAGTATTCATCGTCTCCGGGTAGTCATTTAAGATAAACATGATAGTGCGATTTATCGATCCATGGGATTTCTAACACAACCAAACAGAATTCAGTATAAGAAATATTGTAGTTTGCTGAAACTGTACAAAGGAAACCAAAATCTACCACGTTCTACTCAATCAGAAGTTCCCTTAGCGCTGGGGCTGGCACTTATAACTGTTACGAGATTGCGATATATCACTTCTTTAAATGTTTTAGTATAAACATCGCTGTTATGGAGGGTGAGAAGTGCTCACAGTGTGTGTATGTGTGTAACAATAAAAGTGATACAATCGACCGACCTCATTGCCCTCTTTTCCCGAGGCTGTTACGGTATTTTCAACTACTGAAAATTTACCAGCGGAATTTCTATGCGAATTAGGAGGAACTTGACGATGGGCGGGTTACCAGGTTGTGTTCACATACTTTCATCATTTCTACAAATATTATGGGTTATATTTTAAGTTCCGCTTGTCGATAAATTAATAGTTAGGGTTTTACGACAAAAAATCATTCTATTGGCCGAAGCGAGCATAATGATCATTCACAGAGTTCGAACGTACCATATTTTAATAACGTGCGCACAGCTTTTTCATATCCAAACTTTGTAGCCAAATGTAAACAGGATCGACCTCGTTCGTCAACAGCCAAAATATTTGCCCCGGCCTCCAGTAATGCATCGATCTGGTTGACCAAGCCCTTGCGAGAAGCATGCAGAAGAGCTTTTGAGGAAAAATAAACCAACAACTAAATAAAGTCCTTGAGTTACTACGGAATTTACACGGATATTCAAATCTTATGAATCAAGACACGTTAATCGTTCAAATTGAGTCAACGGTTATTGTTCATCGGGCTATGCTGCAAAACCTTCCATCAAGTTTCAAGGTACCTCAATAGTCAGTGCACAAATCTGTTGATTATTGGAGAATCAGGTGTAGTGTCCTTGACCTTCAAATACAATTAATGTGAAGATCCAAGAAAGCAAATCAATCTAACCACAAAAACATACTAAATGAGACCGGGAGTAGATATCAGAATCGGCATAGAGTTCGGGCTCACCTTTGTCTAGTCGGGCTTGTAGCGAGTCTTCTTTATTCACTTGCTTTACCCAATATGGACGATGCATTATTGATCGACTTTTCTCAAACGTTTCTGTTTGTTCATCGCTGGATGCGAGCTGTTGGTTTTCGGATGTGCGTTCACTCGCCGAACTGGATATGCTTCTCCATCGTGATCCGTTTAACTGAAGCCATTTCGAGACACGCTCTTTTGAACGATCTGTCACCTCGTCAGCCGAACCCTTCTCGTTATCTTCAGAAGATTTCGAGAGCCCATTTGAATGCTTGGTTGGTGCTGACACCTGATCTGTGCTTGTTTCCGAGAGTGTATCGGGTCTGGGGCTCGGATCTGTCGCGGATCGGTGAGTGTTGGAAACATCAGTGTGATTGTCATTCTGC